TTGACAGACTTGAATGGCCATGCTTACAGAGAATCATGCTTCAAATGGGATTCAGTACAGACTTTGTAAAGCTCATCATGGTATGTGTCACTACTACATCTATCTCCTTCAAAGTTAATGGCAAGGTCTGTGGCTACATCACTCCTTCAAGAGGCTTAAGACAGGGGGACCCTTTGTCCCCCTACCTGTTCATTATAGCTGCAGAGCTTCTTTCAGCTCTTCTTTCTAATGCTCAATCCCAAGGCCATCTCCATGGAATTAAACTCTCTAGCAATGGGCCAGCTATCACTCATCTCCTCTTTGCAGATGATTCTCTGCTCTTCTGCAAGGCAGGAGTGGATCAGGCTATGCAACTCACCTCTCTCTTGGAAAAATACAGGCTCTTTACTGGCCAGAAGGTCAATTTGCAGAAGTCTGGAATTTTTTTCAGCAGGAATACTCCCTTCAATTTGAGAGATAGCATCTGTAATGTTCTTCAGGGAATTGTTCCTCATAGATCAACAAGATACCTTGGGCTACCTTTGGGTATTGGCAGATCGAAAAAGGAAGCTTTTGACTTCATCTTGTCCTCCATCAGAAACAAGCTTCAAGGCTGGAAGAACAAACTTCTTTCTCCAGCAGGTAAAGAAGTCTTACTCAAATCAATTATTCAAGCACTCCCTGTTTTCTCTATGACCTGCTTTAAACTGCCAGTAGCCATTTGCAAAGAAATTTCTAGGCTGTGTGCAGCCTTTTGGTGGAAATCTGGTGAAAACTCTGAAAGTGGAATTCATTGGAGAAAATGGGATAGACTCACTCTTCCCAAACTCAAAGGAGGCCTGGGCTTTCATGATATAAGCCTTTTTAATGAAGCTCTGATCTGCAAACAGTTATGGAGAATCATCTCCAAACCTGATCTTTTGGTAAGCAAAATCTTAAAGGATAGATACTTTCCCAATGTCTCCATTTTTAAAGCAGAAAGAACTCAAAAAGGATCCTGGTTATGGCATAGTTGGCTTTCTGTGATGCCTACCTTTGCACAGTGCATTAAAACTGAAATCAGGGATGGGAATTCAACCAGGATTGAGGATCATAATTGGGTGCCTAAGTTGAATAAAGCTCATCCTTCCCTCCTTGAGATTGCTAGAGGTCATTTGATATGGGCAAAAGACCTTCTGGTCAGCAATGGAACAAATTGGAATAAATGGTTGGTGGAACAGGTTTTTTCTCCAGAGGAGAGTGCTGCAATTCTCAGCATTAATACTTTGAATCCAGATAGGGCAGATAGACTTTTTTGGAGTCTTGAACCCAAAGGGCACTTTTCTGTTGCAAGTACTTATAAATATTTGGCTGCTCTTAAGCTTCTGCAAATGGACATTCCAGAGTCCAGTACAAGCAACTTTCCTCCTCATCAGATATTCATGAGATGCTGGCAGTTAAAGATTCAAAGCAAAATCAAACACTTCCTATGGAAATGCATTTCTGGAACATTGCCTTCTGCAGTTAACCTTAGAAAGAAAGGGATTGACATTGATACTACATGTTCATTGTGTGGAGAAATGCCTGAAACAACAGAACACATTTTGTTTTCCTGCCCCAGAGCTAGTAGAATTTGGGAATCCTCCCCAGTCCAATGGGATGGCCTCCAGCACTGCACTTTCTCCTTCAAATATTGGTGGCAACAGGTTAGTTCAATCAAACAGAATGAGGTTGTCCAAGATAGAATTCAATTGTCTACCTATTTGCTCTGGTGGTTATGGAAATCCAGGAACCTCTGGATTTTTAAAAGATCAGCCATGCCAGAGCACATAGTCATTTCTGCAGCTCTTAAAGATTGGAATGAAGCTTCTTCAGCAGCAGAATCCTGTGATGCTTTCCCTGCTAGTTAGTTTTATTTTCTCTTTGATTGGTTTTGGTGTTTTCTGGTTCTTGGAAGTGATGTATTCTAGCTAGGCTTAGAGGCAGTGGATAGATGCATTTCTTCTTTTGTAGATTTGTCTTTGTTTCTTAGTTGTTGAGGCTCTAGGTGCTTTGTGTAGCATCTCTCAGTTTTCTGTTGTAGTTGGCTTAGTCTTTTGTATTATTGTATTGACTCTTATTTTGGTTGTTTAATATAGCTCCTCTATCGTTCTGGCCAAAAAAAAAAAAGACCAAAATCCCTGCTTCTTCTTATTTGTATTAAAAATATTGTTCTTTGTGCCCATTGTAGGGTTGGTGAACTTATTTAAATATAATTTTGTTTGTTTATTTTTAGATTATTTAATTTGTTATTTTGAATTTTGGTATTGTTGCACTTGTTTTATTGAAGTAACATTTAAGCACATGAATTAAAACATGTTAACTTTTTGTTTGAGATAATTGCAGGTCTTTGTTTGAGATTCAAAATAATTATGATGCTTTGAATTTGGTTAACATTTTGCATCTGAACCATGTACTGATTACTTGTCTAGTGTTGATGAGGGAATTGAATTTATGGGAGAATCTGACTTGGGTGAAAACAGTAGTGATGGTGACACTGACAATGGTCAGTCAGTTGGGACAAATTCTTCCAAGTCCGAGGCTTTTGTAGAGAGTGATTGTGTAATATGCCGTCATGTTAATTATATTAATCATGTATTTAGTTCTGATATAATAATATTGTAGAGTATTATTTTCGGAATTAATTATTTCAGTCGAGATTACCTGAAATTATTTTCGACGTCCCGTTTACGTTCGGAATAATTTTGGTAATTAAGTATCATGTCTAATTAAATAATTAAGCATTTAATTATGCTTAATTATGTTGCCCTAATTTAAATGCCGTAGCATTTAAATTAATTTTGCTCAAATTCCATCAAAATGCCGTGAGCTATTTTGTAGAGTTATTGAGGAGAAATTTGCTAGCTTGAGGTGTCATATTATGAGCATATTATGTAGTGACTAAGCAAGCTTATTGATGAGTTAACATTATAATATTTCTTAATGATGACAAGTGGCATCATATGAGGAAGCCACCAAATTTTCCCCCACCTCTTAATATTATGCTCTCGGCTACTATATATTAGGGGGACTTGGGATCATTTTTCCCATTTTTCAGCCTATATATTGCACTCATAAGTTAAGTAAATTAAGTAAGGAGAGTGAGGGCCTAGAGAGAGTACCGCACGCCAGCCACGCTCAAGCGCACGGCATACCCGCAGCGCCCACGGCGTAGAGCACGCACACGATCGCACCGAGTGAATTTTCAGCCAACCGTCCAAGGAGGTAACCTCGGTTTACCTCTTTTTGATGTTATTAGAATCATGTTAGATCAGTATTTCAAGTCAAGTTCATGAATTAGTCTTACAAGTGCTCTCGGCCGTACGAGTTAAATCATAACGAGCATGTTCATTGTTGATCCGAAACTCTCGAACAATTATCATGTATTCAGTCATTACATGCCATATTATGTTCAA